TCAGAGGTTTTCACTCTGCCGTAAGGCATTTCATATTTTACTGGGGACGACATCCGTCTCGGTTTTTGTTTCGTCGTGATTGTGAGACAGCTGCTTAACTATTTCCGTATGTGGTGCGTAGTTGTTTTTTTAATAGAGTAAAAGTGAGACGCTATATCAAGGTCTCTCTATATCTTAGATGTATTTGGAGCACATATTTCAAGGCTGATTTTGGAGTAGTTTGCAAGAACAGGAGTGCGGTTTGTGCTTTTGTCCTGTGTGCGCGCCACAGAATTCTACATCGCATTTACAAACCGCCGAATTTCTACTGTTTCCAGATCTAGAATCTCGATATCCAACACTGTTTGGGTGTGTACTTCGCAGTGTCGATGGGCACTTCAGGTCAAACTTCATTGCATTGAGTTTTTCTAGATACATTTAGTGTAGTGATGTCTCTAACACGTTGAGTTCGTTTAAACCCTCAAAATGTTCACTTCACTGTATTGACATTTTCAGAATCTAGAGCGTATTTTCTGCAGCTTTTCATAGAGCAAGGCTCTGGATATCAAGATCTCTATATCCTAGATGCATTTGGTGCACGGTTTCAAGATTGATATGAAGTAGTTAACAAAAAGTGGTCAATTTAGATCCAGGTCTGTTCGGAAAAAAAGGGAATATGAAATAATAATGTAGAAAGATGCCCCCCTAAACATAGAGTTTGTTTAATCCGACGAAATAGAGGTGAAATCGAGATGAAACCGAGAAAGGTGATTATCAATCAGAATGAATGTTCTGATAGTCAGAATCTTGAGGAAGACCCTGAGCATGACAGGCTAAGAGAGAAAGGGCCAATGTTGACCGTAGCGTGCAACGCACAGTCCTTTAGTGAAACTGAAATTGATCGGAGATTATGGACAGTGGTGAATTCAGTGTAATCTGTGAACATAGCAATGACATAAGATGGAGAGAAGAGAGAAACGCATTCTGCTGTCAAAATGACAAAGTTAGCATACATGTACCTCCCGCACCCCTTCAAGAACTAATAAAGTATTATGCTGTAGCACAGAGCGGCAGCTGCTCTTTCTCACCCCACTGTAGGTCATACAATAATGCTCACGCCCTTGCTTCTGTTGGGTCCAGTGAACAAGCTGAAAGGGGCTTCAGCTCAACATTCAAAATCCAGGGCAAGCTGTACCACTAACATTTACTTGGGATTTCCTATTACTAGGTCACAGTTCGTAGAACGGGTATGTATCTTGTGTCAATAATAAAAATAATAAGGTTATTGTTATACATTTTATGATTACTATTATGATTATTATTATTATTATTAAATTGGTATACT